GAGATTCTCCAGGAACATCCATGTTGCTGCAAATGGCGTTATGTTGTCGGTTTTTATGGCTGAGTAGTATTCCATTGTATAAATATACCACCTCTTCTTTATCCAGTCACCTGCTGATGGACATTTAGGCTGTTTCCATGTTTGATACTGGTTTCTTGGCTGTCTCTCTGATTTGATCGTCTTGTCAAAAGTTTGAAAAGTTTATTAGACTCTTTAAAGAATCAAATTTTGGCTTTGTCAGTATTTTAACCTTTCAAATTCACTGTTTTTCTAATTCCTTGATAGATGTTAGCTCATTAAAATTGATCTGTCTTTTGTATGTAGAAGTTACGATCTTAAATGTATAAACACTGATTTTACTACATTCTACATGATTTTTCCTCAAACTACTCAGCTCAAATTATCTTCTAATTTACATCATGATTTATTTTTACCTGCTGGTTATTTAGAAGTGAATCTCTACATTTATGGAAGTATTCTAGCTTAAAAATGATTAGTTGAATATGCTTTGTGAAAATGTCATTAAGTAGATTCAGTTCCTTTTGAGACTTGTCTTATGGCCTAATAATCAATTTTTGAAAATGTCTTGTTCAAATCTTATTTCTTTTGTGTTTTATTAGTTATTCCCATAGTTTGAATTTGTCTATTTCTCTTTATGGTTCTGTTTCTCCTCTAGTATTCCGAGGATATGTCATGAAATGAATAAAATCTAAAATTATTTTCCTGGTAAGTCTTTTATCATTGTGAAATGTCCCCTTTTTAATCTACAGTAATGCTTTCTACCTTCCAGTAGCCTTAAATGATGCTAATATAGCTACATTAGTTCCAGGACAGGGCTTCAAAAAGTCTCATTTTCTTGAATACTGAATAAATCATGCTGTTATCTCCTGGATTTCATTGTTTAGCTTATAAAACTAGCTGTCAGCTCAATTCCTGAAACTTTAAATGATACATTTGTACACTTTATCATCCTTTGACTTTAACCTTTTTGGAATCCATATATATGTCAACTACAAGGGCTTTTTTCCTCCAAGAAATTCAGCTGACAGAATTTAATTGGAGTAAATAATCTATTTTCCTAATGTAATCATTGCACTGAGTTTAAATCTATAGTACTAGCCCCTTATCTGTGGTTTCGCTTTCCGTGGTGTCAGTTACCCACAGTGAACCGTGTGTAGTTCAGAAACTACTACATAAAAATTGTTTATTTCTGGAATTTTCTACGTTTTAAATTTGGCGCTGTTCTGAGTAGCACGGTAATCCCTCCCTGGCCAGCTCTGTCTTGCTCAGGAGATCCCCAGCCATCGACACTGTCATGGACCAGGGATCTGGTACCACCTGAAGCAGATGATCCTCCCTTTGACTTTTCACCTCACTTCCTCTCATCTCACCATGAAGGCACTGCATCATCTCAAGTAGGGTAAGAATAGTACAATAAGATATTTTGAGGGAGAAAGAGACCATAGGCACATAATTTTTATATTACAGTGTAACTTTTCTGTTTTATTAGTTACTGTAAAGCTTGCTGTGCCTGATTCATAAATTAAACTATCATAGGTATGTATAGGAAAAAACTTTGTATACATAGGGTTTGGAACTACTTGGTTTCAGGCATCCAGTGGGGGTCTTGGAACACAGCCGCTGCAAACAAGGGGGGACAGTTGTACCATCCTACTATGACCCATTAGTTTAAGGTCTTTTTTTCCTGTGGATGCGTTTAAGATTTAAAAAAAAATTTCCTCAAGTTATGATGTGTCTAGGAGTAGATTGCTTTTAATTTACATTGCTTTGGTTCCTCAGCCCTTCTTGGAGTTGGTGGTTCCTATGTTTATTTGGCTTTTGAAAATTCTATCACTAAGTCCAGAACTGCTTGGCTACATCTGTTTTCACTGTATCAGTTACTTTTTCTTACCTTCTTGGGTGTTTTACCTGAGTTTCATTTTGAATATTTCCTTCTGATTTGTCTTCCAGTTCACTAATCCTCTATTATTTCTGATTGGCTACTATACCCAACCATTGCATTCTTAATTGGGATTGTATTTTTCAGTTCTGACATTTTTTTCCCTCTGCTAAATCTGCTCTGTAATTTTCTGTGGTTTTCAGTTCTTCAGAAATGTTGGCAGTCTACTTACACTTCTTCCAATATCTGGGGCCTCTGCATATTAGCTTTTAATGACATTTCCTACTGCTTCTCGTGTATAACTGTCTCCTCCTAAGCTTGTTTATTCTTGATTGTGTGGCAAGGCTATTTTTTTAAAAGGGGTTTGTTTTTATAGATCTAGGATGATGTTCTATTCTTCCAGGAAAAAAAAAAAAATCTGTGCCAGGCACCTGAGAACAAAGGCAGCAGTCTGGTATTATTGTACCTGGCACTGTTGACATTTTAAGCCGGATAATTCTTTACTGGGAAGGTATTTCCTGTGTTTTACAGGATATTTAGTATCTCAGCCTCTTCCCAATAGACACCAGCAGAACCTCTTCCCAGTTAAAATGCTGCCAGATATTACCAGATACCCCCTGGTACTTAAAATGCCCTTTTGGGGAGTTAAAATGATAGTGGTCTCTGATTTCCACTTCTGTCCCCCTAATTAAAGTATTACCCTGCTTTTCTAGTTGTCCTCAGTGGAGACTATATCCAAGTTTGACATGGGGATGTTTATGCACACACACCTTCCTGCTGCCTGGAGTACACCCTGCTGTATATCCACAGTTGCAGGTAAGGCCTATTTATGTTGCATGATTCTCACGTGGGCCATCCTGCCACATGGTAGAGGCGCTTTTTCTTTGCCACACCAGAACCCTTCTTGCTATTTAAACATTTGTCTTGAGAAATGTCTTAAGAACCAATCTTCAGTTCTAAACTTCAATGACCCACTCTCAAAGACTGAGTGACTGTCAGTGCCCCTCCACGTCCATTCATGGAAGGTTGCCTTCTTGGTATATTGTGTCTTGAAGACAAGGACTTACAAGATGATTTCTGTAATAGCAGCTCAGAGAATCCTAAATTCCCTCTGGGATTTAGAACTGGGGATCCTGAAAAGCATCTAGTCCAAATAGATGAGCAAAGTGAAGTGCAGAAAGTCCATGTCAGCGATACATGGTTGTGAGGTGACTAGAACTGAAAAAAAAAATGTGTCACCTAGAAGAATGAGAAAGGCCAAAAGACATCAGTTCACATGCAAACTTGGTAATACAGTGACAAGGCTTGGGTTGAGGAGACGGGACAATTCTGTCCTGTTGGGAAGTTCAGGAGGGGATGGGTCCCAACAGAACGAGAATCAGTACTGCTTTGCTTATTAGAAGGAAACACTTACTTTGTATCAGGAACTTCTGCCTTATTTTGTTGTACCTTTGACAACCTTCAGGCACTCTGTTTAGAGATTTACCTCCATCTTTAGATGAGGGTCCGAGGGTTAGCCTGTTGTAACTTGCATTAGGTCACAGCTTAGTAGGTGGCAGAGCTGGGATAGAAGGTGGAGTCTAATCCTAAAGCCAAAGATGTGTTTTTCTTAGGCTTTGCTGCCCCTGTAGTTCTTAAGGTCGTGACTTCTCATTCAAGGGCGTGCAGATTAAAATCTGGGCATATAGATTACAGTCTGCACCAAAAGATAATCTAAGCTACCATTGGGTGGGGACCAATGAGAAGAAGGACTCACATCAGAAAGGGCCTCTCTGGTGAGACTGTAAGATGGCCCCAGGGAGAGCTGGGTGGGGTCAGTGTTCTCTTAACTGACACACAAAACCAGAAGTGAAAGCTGAGAAGCAGGGGTGCTCCGACTTCCGAGGTTAGCGCACTCTCTGCTTAGTCCCGCTTTCTTCATCTGTGGGACAAATCCCCTAAATTCAATAATGTCTCAAAGGTGACTAAACCATTCTGTTATTTGGAACTAGGCTGGAAGTTTGAAAGAGGGCAAAGTAATTTGGTAACTCCTGATGTCTCCTGGAACCTGAAGCGTGAGTGAGGGCTTTTTCTTTGTATTCCTGGTTCGGGCCAGCATGAGAAAATTGAGCACAAATATTTATTCATAGGTAGTTCTTTCACTAACAATAAAATACTCTCTGAACAGGATTTAATTTCAATAGCAGGTATCTTCAAAACGACTCTAAATGAGGTCCAACTGGATCTCAATTTGGCCTCAAATCAAGCAATGGACATACCACAATATTAGTAGAAGGCTCTGGAAATTCTAGCACTGTGTGATCCAGTTTGGTTAAATAGCCTTTTCTGGGGCAAGGATGCTTTTTTACCTTGTCAGATAAAGTTCCAGATTGATTCATTCATTACAAGCTTACTTTAGGATAACTACTCTGAGGTAGACTAAATGACTGCTTTTCTTTGTCTTACAGTATTCCTCGTGCAGTTCTCACCAACTCCTACCCATTTATGCCTTATGTTATATCCTACTTCATCTCATCTGTAGAATGAAGAAAATTCCAGAAGGTACGTATTAGCAGATCCTTGAAGGATATATATATGTCTATATATATCTCCAGTCAATTGGTTTCTTTAGCTTTTCCAAAAGTACTGTTGGCTCTAATACTCTTGGGCTAGATACTTAACATTTTGTTTTATCAAGTTTAAAAGAGCAGAGATGTATTATTTATCTACACATTCCACTTCCTCCTGAGTCAGCTAATACTATCTCTGATTTTAGGGAGAGGCTAGTGGCTGAGAGTGTTTCTCAGGAGTGTCTGAATTCTACTTTCTCCACTTAACAATTACATGAGAAAGTTAACTTTTCCAAGCACTAATTTTATTTTCTGTAAAATGGGTAGTATAGTAGTAATCACTACCTCCATAGTATTAGCAGGATTAAACAAAGTGCAATTGATGTAAAACACTACACATGGCACCTGGAATTTCTATTTCTACAAACCCTTAACTTATATAATTAATTTTTAATCACTGTAAAATATACATAATATACAACTACCCCTTTGAACCACTTATAAATGTGCAGTCTTGTGGCATTAGGTACATTCATCTAGTTGAACCATTGTTGCCTCTCAGCTCCAGAATGCTTCCATCTTGCTAAATAATTCCATACCCATTAAACAGCTACTCTCACTCCCTCTCCCCACCAGCCACCCCCTGGGCAACCATCATTCTATACTTTCTATCTCTATGAATTTGACTTCTATATGTATTGCATATAAATGTACTCATAATATTTGTTTTTCTGTGACTGAGGAACACTTAGCATCTTGGCTTCAGTGTTCATCAGTGTTACAGCATAGAATTTTCTTTTAAAGGCTGAATACTATTCCATTGTTAACACCTGAATACTATTATATTAGTCAAAACTCTATTCTAACCACTGAAAAAGTGAGTTCAATTGCTTTCCAAGGCACAGCTTCAGTGGGGGTCAGTGTCTTTCCTACTACAGTAGAAAATGCAGGCTTATACTTTTACAGTAAATTCCTAGGCTCACCTTTTTGATTCCTTTTCTCCACCAGTGGTTACAAAACCCTGATTTAGGATCTCATTTTCCTCAGAGATAAAGAATGGCTGGAGAGGGGGATGAACTCCCCTGCGAAAACCTCAAAAATACATCTACATATGGAACAATTCTCATAGGAAAGTAACTGGAAACCGGTAGAACTCCTATACAACCAGTGCTGCCAGAAAGATTTCCTCATGACTGGGTTGGGGGTGGAGGGCAGAAACCACTAGGTCAGAACCTGGGCCCCTGGAAGGAGTCTAAGGGGAAAAGGGAGATGCAAGGGGCAGATCCCCACTGTGTGGTGCGAGTGGGCTTAGCCATGACTGGGCGTCCCCGTCCCACCTGGAGGAATTAACAAGCCCCCTTGGCTGCTGGGATAAGCACTGTTGACTGGTAGAAGGGCTGCAGAAGCCTAGACTCCATTGGCAAGGAGTGTGTAGGTGCATGGCGGTGAGAACACCACACTGGCTCCTGTCACCTTACCACATACCCCAGCCCCACTCATTGAACATCATAGCTAGGCACAGGTTCTAGGGTCCTTGGAAAAGATCTAGTGATGGAGAGATGGCCAGGGGACCTGGGCTGTGGTCCAGAGGAACAGTAGCAGTGGCCATTTTTGGCGCTTGCTCAGCCAGTGCCATGTAAGCAGTCATTTGCACCTGAGGGCAGCACAGTCATTTGCACCTGTAACCAGTATGCCTGAGTCCCCATTCCCAGCAGAGCTAACACTCTGCCCCTGCTCACTCCATCCCACAGCTTTGCACTAGACCTGGGGCAGGCAGGTCCTGGGAAAAGACTCAATCTAGGGATATAGGGGAGGCTGGGCAGCAGGATGTGGTTCAGGTACAGCAAGGTCAGCTGGTGTTGGCACTTGCTCACCCAGTGCCCCAGAAGCAGCCCAGACCTCTGATGGCAGCACAGCCCCTTCAATTCCTGTAACCACAACACCCTGACCCCCCAAGTCCCAGCCTAATGAATGCTCTGGTCCTACCTGCTGCATGCCACAACCTTGCACTAGACCTGGTCCAACCCCAGCAGGGAAAGGGATGCAACTGTGGGCTGATTTTGAGGAGAGCTGCAGACACCTACACAGGCAGTGCATCAGACCTCTGTGCGCACATGAGCCTCATTTTACCACTCCCCTCCTTTGGGGCAAAGGCTCCAGTTCAGAGACAAGGAAAAACATAATGAGAACAGTCTGCTTGAGTCCAAAGCTCAGGTTTTCTGCTCTAGTAACAGGGGAGCAGGCCTTGCCCCTGACATGGCAGCAGCCATGGAGCATAGAGGAAGTCCTGCCACACACTGTGAGGAAAGACATGACTGGCATCCACATCCAAGCCAACCCTCACGCACTGAAGATGCTGGGCACACAAGGTTACCTAAGAATGCTTCCACTGTACAAAAATCCTTTGACACCACAGTAGGTACCATTGCTTCTACATTCATAGAGACAGAGAAAGTTAAAATGCAGAAGACCCACTCACAATTGGAAAAGCAAGAGACAACCCCTGAAAAAATAATGAAACAGTCTTCCAGACATTGAGTTAAAAATGTTGGTAGTAAATATGCTGAATTTAAAAATAAGCCTGGATCCTTTTAACAAGGAACTAGAAACTATAAAGATGACCTAATCATAATAGATAATTCAATTTCTGAGATAAAAAGCAATCTAGAATTAGTGCATAACTGACTAAATGACACACACAAAAAAAACCACACAAATGATTTGGAAGATAGATGGAAATCACCCAATCAGAACAGCAGACAGAAAGGCAAATGAAAAAAAAATACAGAAGATCTATGGGATAATATATAATGTGCCAATCTATGCATAACAGGGGTTCCAGAAGGAGGAGAGAAAATAATTTATCAATTTAAAGCAAGCAGATATAACTTTGGATCAACATACATGACCACCAGAGTAACCTCAACTCAAAAACCTCTAATAGATACACAAAAGCAAACAAAAAAAAAGGAACTCAAGCGTACTATAGAAAATCATCAAACCAGACAGGGGAAAACAAAGCACAAAATGAAGACACAAAAGAACAAAGAAAAATTACAAAAACAACTGGAAAACAAATGGCAATAAGTACATACCTATTAATTATTTTAAGTGTCAATGGACTAAATGCTCCAATCAAAAGATAATAGGGTAGCTCATTGGATTACAAATAAGACTCTTCAATATGCTGCCTAGAAGAGACACACACTTCAGGGCAAATTTCATGCAAATGGAAATGACAAGAAAGTAGGAGTTATAATGCTCAAATCAGAAAAAAATGACTTTATAACAAAGACAAAGAAGGGCCTTATATCATGGGATCACTACAAGAAGAGGATATTACACTCATACCATATACTCACCCAATATAGAAGCAGACAGATACATAAAGGAGAAACTGACAATAATACAATAATAGTAGTAGACTTTAACACCCCACTGACATCAATGGACAGATCATGTGGCAACAGAAGTCCTGAGTGACACAGTAGACTAGTTGGACTTGATATCTGCAGGACACTGCATCCTAAAAAAGCAGAAGACACATCCTTTTCAAGTGCACATGGAATATTCTTCAGGGTAGACCATATACTGGGTCACAAAACAAGCCTCAACAAATTTAAGAGGGTAGAAGTTACATTAAGCATTATTTCCAACCACAACAGCATAAAACTAGAAATCAACCACAGAAAGAGTGGGACAAGAAGAAATACATGGAGACTAAACAACATGCTACAAAAAACCAATTAAAGAGGAAGTCAGAAATTAAAGAAATTAAATGAAACTTAAAGAGGAAATCAGAAAATACCTTGAAACAAATGAAAAAGAGAACACAACTTGACAAAATCTATGGAATGCAGCAAAAGAAGTTGTAAGAGGGAAGTTCACTGCTACACAGTTCTGCCCAAAGAAACAAGAAAACACAGAAGCAACTTAACCTACCACCTAAAAGAATTAGAAAAAGAACAAACAAAGCCCAAATTCAGTAGAAGGAAATAATAAAGATCAGAGAGGAAATAAAGATTAAAAAACCAAGAAAAAAGCTAAACCAAGAGTTTTTTTTTTTTTTGAAAAGAGAAACAAAATTGATAAATCTTTAGCCACGGTCACCAAGAAGAAAAGAGAAGACCCAAATAAGAAATGAAAGAGGAAAAATAACAACTGATAAAACAGAGATACAAAAAAAAAATCTTCAGAATACTACAATTATATGCAACAAGTTGGACAATCTAGAAGGAATGGACAAATTTCTAAAACATAGAGCCTGCCAAGTCTGAGTCAGGAAGAAACAATTTGAACAAACTGATCACTACAAATGAAATAGAATCTGTAATTAAAAAAAAAAAAAACTCCCTGCAGACAAAAATTCAGGACTGGACAGCTTCTCCAGGGAATTCTACCAAACATATAAATAAAAACTTACATTGATCCTTCTCAAACTATCCCAAAAACCGAAGAAGAGGGAACACTCCTACATTTATTCTAAGAGGCTACCATTCCCTGATACCAAAAACAAAGACGTTACAAAAAAAAAAAAAAAAGAAAGAAGAAAATTACAGGCCAGTACCCTTGATGAATATACATGCAAAAATCCTCAACAAAATAATAGCAAACCAAATCCAACGATACATAAAAGGATCATACACCATGATCAAGTTGCATTTATTCCAGGGTCACAAAGATTGTTTAACATACTCAAATCAGTCATTGTGATACACATTAACAAAAGGGAAGACAAAAACGACCATCTCCAATAGATGCAGAAAAAGCATTTGACAAAATTCAGCATCCATTTATGATAAAAACTCTCATCAAAGTGGGTATAAAGGGAACATATCTCAATATAGTAAAGGCCGTGTATGACAAATTGACAGCCAATGTCACATTCAACAGTGAAAAGCTGAAAGCCTGCTAAATTCAGCAAAAAGACAAGGATGCCCATTCTTGCCACTTCTATTTAACACAGTATTGGAAATCCTAGCACAGCAGTCAGGTAAGAAAAAGAAATAAAAGGTGTCCAAATTGGAAAGGAAGAATTAACCTTGCCACTATTTGCAGATGATATGATACTCTATATAGAGAACCCTATAGGCTCCAACCTAAAACGATTAGAACTAATAAATGAATTCAGCAAGGTTGAAGGATACATGGTTAATATACAGAAATCTGCTGTGTTTCTATACACTAATAATAAAATACCAGAAAGGGAAAGTTTTTAAAAATCCCATTTAAAACACATCAATAAAATAAATACTGAGGAATAAACTTAAGCAAGGAGGTTAAAGACTTAACACGCTGAAGGCTATGAACCATTCATGAAGGAAATTGAAGATGATTCAAAGAAATGGATGAAGAAATGGGAAGATATCTTGTGCTCTTGGATTGGAAAAATAAATATTAAAATGGCCATACTACTAAAAGCAATCTACAGATTTAATGCAATCCCTATCAACACACCCAGGACATTTTTCACAGAACTAGAACAAATAATTGTAAAATTTATACGGAACCACAAAAGACCGTGAATTGCCAAAGCAATCCTGAGAAAAAAGCAAAGCTAGAGGTATAACCCTTCCAGACTTCAGACTATACTATAAATCTGCAGTAACCAAAACAGCATGGTGTTTGCACAAACACAGACACACAGATCAATGGAGCAGAATAGTACAGAAATAAACCCATGCGTCTATGGTCAGTTAATCTATGACAAAGGAGGCAACAATATACAATGGAGAAAAGACAGTTTCTTCAACAAGTGGTGCTGGGGAAACTGAATAGCCACATGTGAAACAATGAAATTAGAGCATTTCTTTACACCATATACAAAAATAAAATGGTTTAAAGATGTAAATGGAAGACATGAAACCATGAAACTCCCAGAAGAAAACATAGGCTAAACCCTCTTTGATATAAATTGTAGTAGTAGTTTCTTGGATCGCTTTCCCAAAGCAAAATAAATTTTAAAAAACAAATGGAACCTAATTAAACTTAAAAGCTTTTGCACAGCAAAGGAAACCATCAATACAATGAAAAGACAACCTATGGAATGGGAGAAAATATTTGCAAATGATGTGACAAGAGAGGTTAATACCCAAAATATATAAGTAGCTCATAGAACTCAGTATCAGAGAAACCCCAAACAGCCCAATCAGAAAATGAGCATAAGACTTACACAGACGTTTTCCAAAGAAGACATACGTATAGTAAGCATTGCTAATTATTCGAGAAATGAACATCAAAACTGCAGTGGCGGAAGGTGGGAAGGGATAGACGGGATTTCAAAATTGCAGAATAGATAAACAAGATTATACTATGTAGCACAGGGAAATATACACAAGATCTTATGGTAGCTCACAGAGAAAAAATGTGACAATGAATATATATATATATATGTTCATGTGTAACTGAAAAATTCTGCTCTACACTGGAATTTGACACAACATTGCAAAATGATTATAAATCAAAAAATTTAAAAAACTGCAATGAGATACCACCTTACACTGGTCAGAATGGTTATCATCAAATAGTCTGCAAATAACAAATGTTGGGGAGGATATGTAGAAAAGGGAACCCTCCTACACTGGTGGAGGGAATGTAAATTGGCATAGCCACTATGGGAAACAGCATAGAGGTTCCTTTAAAAACTAAAAATAGAACTACCATATGATCCAGCAATTCCACTCCTAGGTACATATCCGGAAAAAAATGAAAACTGTAATTTGAAAAGATATATGGACCCCAACATTCATAGCAGTACTATTTACAACAACCAAGACATGGATGCAACCCAAGTACCCATCAACAGACAACTGGATTAAAGTGTGTATACGCACACAATGGAATACTACTCAGCCATAAAAAGGAATGAAATATTGCCATTTGTAGCAACATGGATGAACCTAGAGAATATTATGCTTAGTGAAACATGACAGAGAAAGACAAATACTGTATGATTTCACTTATATGTGGAATCTGAAAAATAATACAAATGAACATATATACAAAACAGAAACAGACTCAGACATAGAAAAGAAACTTGTTGTTACCAAAGAGAAGGAAATGGGGAGAGACAAATTAGGGGTCTGGAATTAACATACATAAATTGTTGTATACAAAACAGAAAATCAACAAGGATTTAATGTATATAGCACATTATCTTGTAATAACTTACAATGGATTGTAATCTGCAAGAATACTGAATCACTACGCTGTACATCTGAAATGAATATACAGTATTGTCAATCGGTTATACTTCAATAATAATAAAGAAACAGGCCTGCATTCAGAGGAATAAGCAAACATTTCTGTGCTCTGATGTGCAGGCAGAGAGAAAGAAGAGTTGGGAACACAAGTAGGGACAATTTTGAAAATAACCTAAAATTTAGTTTTATGACAAGAAAAAGAACAAGACCAGATAGAAGAGGGCAAGCTACTCAGACAGATTGTGTTTTCCAAAGACAGTCGCACCACATATACTCTTTACAATGTGGTTTTGACGTTCTTCCATTGAGAGGCGGGTTCTTTTTCTCTACCCCCTCAACCTGGGCAGAACGCTGTAAATGCCTCAACCAACAGAATATGATGAAAGTGACTGGATATGGCTTTTGAGCCTTTGTCAAAAAAAAGCATTACCTGTTTCACCTTGGATCACTCAAGCAGCCCTGTAGGGAGAGAAGCACTGAGGCCCCCAGCCTGGAGCCAGCAACAACTTTTCACCCAAGTGAGTCAGCCACCTTGGGCGTGCATGTTTCAGCCCCACTCAAGCCATCCTGGTGACTGCAGACCCAACAGATACATCACCTAAGAGATGCCAAGTGAGAACTGTCCAGATGAGTTCTTCTCAAACTAACAAAAACCATGAAAAATAAGAAGTGATTATTGTTTATTTCATCTACCAGATTTTGGGGGTGTTTTGTTATGAAGCAATTGATAACTATAACATTACCTTATCTTACCTTTCGTCCTCACGCAACGATGGGCTTGAAGCACACGTTACTTCCAGGAGACTCAGACGCGGAGGCACACAAGCAGGCAAGCCCAGCGCAGGCCAACTTTAAAGTCTTAAATTCCATGAATATATCATAGCCAGGTGAAATGGGCAGCTAGAGTCAAAGGGGAATATTGAACCTCAGGAATTTATGGTCTCTTAGTCGGACTATCAGCACACATGGATTATTTAAAGAACAGGCAAAAATGATACTTAAAAATTCCACAGGTATCACTCTGCTCAGCAAGGGTGAGTAAATCTCAGTTAAATGAAAGAGGAGCTTCTTCCTACAGTGGAGTCAATATTTTTCCTAGGGCCTCTGATATACAAGCCTCCACCCACTCTTTTAGGTGCTTTAATTCAGAGCAATTTTAATAATGGCTTCTATAAACCTTTAGCAGCATTTGGACCCTCCTTTCCAAACAACAGTTCTAGAACTCTTCCCCACAGTGGAGTCTTTTAAAAAAAGTTATCACATGATAAATGAGTTGAGCAGTGACCAGGGCTTTGGCCAATATGGATTCTAGTCTGTTTTTTTTTTTTTTTGGATTCTAGTCTCGATGTGTTTACTGAGTGTGACTTTCAGCAAGTCCTTTGAATTTCAGTAGTTTTTACTCTGTGAAATGGAGATTTTGTCCAGTGTCTGAAGATTTTTGCAGCTCTGTGACTGATTTAGAAGACTACCTAGTGATGAAATGTCTCCCCAGATAATAACTATGTTCATTAAATGTATCTGTACACACTGGGGTACATTTCAGCAACCTTCTAGAACTCAAGAGCGCATGGCATTCAGGAATACGGAACAAATGACTCAATTAAAAAACAGAGTCACACTTCTATTTAACAGAAGAGTGTTTTGCTGAATGTCTTTTAGTTTTTCTCTAAATATCTGCAAGTGTCATATCATTGCTTGAAAAGAATTTGCACCTTGTGTTTAATGTTAGAATACAATACAGTTACATTTCTGTTCTGTTTCCCTATGCTATCGCTTACCGAACCCATGACACGAAGTCACCGATCCTTGTGGTTCTGCATCCCACACCCCCACCTTGGGCAGTTTGTGTTCAAGCAGTGTTGCTTTTGGGTCAGCATAGCTGAGCCCGTGATTGGCTGGTTTGTCTACTCAGTGTTAACCTTGAAGGGTGAGCCAGGTTACCACTGCTGGGGTGATGGCTGGGGAGAACGAAGAAAGAAGAAAACGTGAATGACAGACTTACTGAGATCCAGCTCTTCCTGCAGCTCAGTAGTCATGGCGCACTTGAGCTGCAGGGAAAGAAATGACTGGCGTTCTCCACATCATTGCACTGTTGGGATGCTGTCTTAAATGCCTCCTGAAAACACATCTGCACTGCACACCAGACGGACATGAAACCGAGGTTTATTAAAATACCCTTAGCATATTTACAGTTGGAAGCCATGAATGTTGTTCTCTGCAAATTCCAAAAAATAGAGTTCTATCTCTTAAAACAAATTAACAGAGGTATCAACAGGTTAGGATAAATATAATCTATCACAGAGATAGAATTCTTTGAATAGACACTCTACATTTTCTAACCAATATATATTAATGTACAAAAATACTTGATGTGGGGACCAAGTAGTGTCAAGGAGGAAAAATATATATATATATATACACAGATGTATATTTTCATTATGTACAAATCAATATTGGTTCCTTCACCCTTTCTTTTTAAAAATAAATACTTCATTTGGTCGCAAATAACATTTACAAATTCAACTAGTGAGCATTTCTCAGCATTGACAAAATTAAATACGCAAACAAATTAGAAATACATATTTTTAAAAATTTAAAGGGAAAAAATACCTGAATCCAATTAGCTTATTACATTAAAAAAATACCCAAGAGCATGTAATGTAAGGTTTCATGTCTTTAAAGTGCCTTCTCGTTTCTTAAACTGTCTTCATTACTGCTTAAAATCCTTTAAGATTACACCCACAGATCGGTCTAATACTTAAAATAGAAAACCAACTTTTTCGCAGGTCAAATGGTTGACTATTTAAGACATGCTTATACTTTCCTTTTAAGTACTTACTTTTAAGTGCTTTCACAAGTGTAACAGTTACTATCGATCTGAAAATAACCACAAATTGTCAACATCCTGATCCAGATTCGCAAAGATGTTTGAATCATGGGTCGTAGTAAGAATCAAATGGTAATAAAAAGCCTGTGATTCAGAATGTTTGCAAAGAATTAAATCGCTTTGTCCAGCAGCACAGAAAAGTTACTTGAGATTCAAAACTTGAGTCTTATGCATCATAGCTGGTGACCTGGACTGATTTATCACTTACCAGAAGAATAGTCCCTAATTAGACACTTTTAAAGTAAAAAATCTCTGAGACATCGAGAAAGACTGGAATCACCCTCCCCTCAACCGTCTTAAAATAAATTAGAATAAAACAGAAAAAGAAATGTATTTTCCATTTCTTTTATGGATTTTCCCCTCTGCCTAAGTGATGAGGTGGTGCTGACATTAACAAGAGACACAGTCACGACGCCGTGTCTCTCTTGGTGACAGCAGAGCTCCCTGTCCAAAGGGCTGGGGGATGGAGCACAGGGTGGGAGGGCTCAGGGGGACATTCAGGTGTCTGTAGGGGAGAGAGGCAGAGAAAGCTGGGTCCTGGAGAGACTGGAAAGGTAAAGTGAGGAAAAAATAGCTGTTGGGTACGAAGGAAGGGGAGGCTGATTCAGAAGATTGAAAGGAAAAAAGCAAAAGGAAGCTGGATGCCAAAGGGACTTTTAAACAGGCATAGAGGAAACGGGGAGCTCCATGGACAACCGACCCCATGGAAATAGATCTGAAATTTGATGGAGTTATTTTAGTTTCACTAGGATCCCTGCTTTTCCAGCACATTGTCAGGCACGGACCGACAGGAGATACGGGGCACTCACATCGCCCTCGTACACGTGCCTTGAGCTGCCTTTGAAAGGCTGCCCATGACGCAGCCACAGCAGTGATCACCAGCTCCCTAACCAGGCATTGTATCAGCAAAACACTGCACCCCGCCCTTGTTCAAGTTTTCCTTCTCTCCTGCCTCTCTTGTTTTTTTCCATCAGCCCATTACCCGTAGTCTCACAAGGTAAAATGAAGACACACAACTGCGTGGGTCAAGTTAATTTTCAGAAGCAGGGTCCAGGATGTTGCTAAGAAAATTAAACCCTAAAGGACTTGAAATAATTGACATTTCTGTTAGGCCTGATTCCTACTAGGACCCTGACTGATTTCACTTAGGTTCTGGGCATGCAGGCCAGTGTGGGTTTTCCAGGCCAAAGCATGATGCCCTAAATCACCATGTTAGTCTAAATTAAAACTCAGTGACAGGGAAAGACTGCGATGAATCAAGGACATGTTCTCTCTAAAGAAATCTTAAAGCAGTATTCAATTTCTAGAAGTTTCTGCCTTTTTAAGAATATCTTAAGATTTTTTCTTTAAAGGAAGCTCTTTTTTCTTAACACTTATACTCTTCAAAGATTATACATCCTATCAACAGTAGGGTCGTATTATTTTTGTCTTGGGAAATTGAAGAATTGTAGAATTATAAAATTACTGTTTGAAATAGTCCTATCCCTTTGGTAAACCCCAAATCCTGTGCGTCACCCTGGGCAGAGAGGAGAATTGTCACGAGACTGTTTCCTTCACTCATGAATTGGTTTTGAAAGGAAATGGACATCTTTAGAGAATTATGTAAAGTGAAACCACCTTCTTTATGCCTTGGTGGTCAGATGTGAAGAAATAAGATGATAGCTAGGGACAGGTTGCCAAGAAGAAGGGGAAAAAAATGAGCTCTATATACGTCACTCAAACCTACCTAAAATGTAAAGATTTTGAACCCCCTAATCTCTTGAGTTGGGGAAAATAGTACAATCTTTGTATGCCATTCACCCATTTTTATACATCTCATAGAAACATGGAATTCAAAATCCACCCCGAGAGTTCCCAGAGAGCTGTGCATTCCTGAACACACCCATCCTAGTCACACGGAGGTAGGGAGCCATTTCCCCTTACGCTCTGTGGTCTACAGGATTGGCCTCTCATTTCAGAAAGCGGACGCAGGGGAATCAACAAAAAAAGTTTGTTCCATGAGACAAGAATCAAAGCAAGCCCTGGAAGAGATCAATGAAGCAAAGTATGTACAACTTTGCCAAAGATGTTGACAAACCACTGGGAATGAAAACAACTCATTTCTTACTTGATAACGCTAACTGTAACATCACACACCGGCAGCTCACACTGTATATGGACAGACATATTCATCCTCTTTTAAGATACTCTGACAGTTTTAAAAACACGAGAACCCCTTGGTGTCTACACAGACAGAATTTAGGGAAATGCTCATCCTACAAAACAGCCTCAGGGTGACAGGAGGTTGTTTCCTCCGTGGGGAAGAAGGCCGAATTTTTTGGAGGTGATTTTCTGTGGAACATTGTGGGCTCATCGGCTAGCCCAGTGCTATCAAATTTCACACAAAGCATAAAAAGCAAACAGCCCACAGAGGTCTATGAACCAGCTTTCAGAAAAGGAGATAGACTGGAGATTCTTAGCATATTTAAGAGATTAAAAAAATAGCAAGTTCTATGAGCATAGCTGGAATGCAGAAGAATAGATTAATGGCTTTGGCAACCGCTTTCATTTAAAAAACGAGATTAAATCAGTCTCCCGCAGATCATAGGATGAAGAAGATATTCACCAACAAGTACTTCACTGACATAATATGTAAGAATTCGTTTGAGCTCTGACTGAAGCGAACCATCATACTAGAGAAGGGAAGGACAAGAAAAAAAAGGTCCTCTGTGTTACCGTTTACCACCAAGGTGGCTGGGAGAGGGGCTGGGGACAGAGAGGAAGAGTAAGCTCCAGTAAGCTCCGGTGAGGACAGGACCACCGACTCAGTGAGGCTCCATTGGCTTCCCTCATCTCTTTGTTGGGAGAAACTGCACAGGGGCTTAAGAGACAGGTAGCTCGCTGCCATTTCCTTATCGTCACATTTCCAGGTAAGCTGTCAACTGCACATATTTCCCAAATGCTAAGTTTATATCACAGTGCTGATTAAGGGTCTTGGAACAAATAAGATACTGAACTGGCTTCAAGTCTGACACGTTAAAATCTTTCCTGAATCCACTGCTTCCCAGCAAAGCGCTGATCTGGGAGGGTTTGGGAGATTGCCCACTCCTTGGGAGGGGAAGCGGACAACTGTGAAAATACGATTCGAGGGCTCTAACAAGGTGTCAACAACCGGCGGGTGTGCAGAAATGTCACAGAATGAGCCTCTCAGTCACATACAGCTGTGTCACTAAGACCCGCGATGCCTCAACTCACTAACGGAGTTATAAATACCGTTCTGTGAGTCTAAAGGAGCCAGACCTGCCGAGGCCTATTTTTAAAGGTGCCTTTAAGTGAATTCTGCACCAATAACAGACAAGGTTCCAAGCAGCCAGATTGTCTCTCTCCAGAGTTGGAAAATGGAAATGTGTCCAACGAGTTATAAGCATTTTGGAAAGGTTAAAAACTAGCCATTCCTTTCAAATACTGTTAAGTTTGGCCACACAGACTCATTTCTCCTGGGCTGCAGATTTCTTTATGATGACAAAGTAGCTGACATGAATGAAACTCATTTCTTTATTCAATCCACTCTCTTCAGTTGTGTCCCTAAGGTACAAACCTAACATAACATATGAAAAGGGGTATTCATGGTCTTCTGGATGGTCCATACATTTATAAACTGCTCTTGCAAGAGAACCAGAGGTAGGAAATTATAATGGTCTAGCAACTGCTTCCACTTAAATTACACCACTTCTCCTTGTATGTGGCTTTTCCAAAAATAAACTGTTCAAAGCAATACTTGACTCTCTCGAATACACACTCTAAAAATTGCCCGGTTTAGGCTGAAGTCTCAAGTGGGCATTAGATAGCTCTTACTTTGTCTACACTCATCAGCCCTCATAGCTATTCAAATTCTTACGTGCCTAGGACTTCTACAACACTGGGTTTCACAATATGTACCCACCGCCTTCTGATGGTTCAGGAAGTAATTCATTTGTGGATTGCCAAATCTGTTGCTGCTTTTTCCCTTTCACCTTTTGGTCATTTTTTTTTTCTTTCTGATTAGAACAGGTAGGCAGGATCAAAAAAAAAAAAATGAAGCTCACATCTAACAGTTCTTGTTAGCAATTTTTAGACAATTTATAAAATTGGATATTTGATATTTGCATTAGATATTTGGGGGGGGGCTATATTTTTTGAAGTTCTTCCTTCCCCTTGACACAGAAAGCCCCAAACTGGTTTTCTCTTTGTTTGGGTGGAGGGGTGGGGAGTACTACAAAAGAGATCAATCAGAATGTCAGGGAATGAAGAGCCTCCCAGGCCAACGTTAAGTCTGGTTCCTGCGAAAGAGCCCACAGATCTGCACTGCTAATCCCTCTTCAGGGCTGGCTGATGAGGCACTGTTTGCCGGGCTGCCGTATACAATGATCTGCACCCATGACACAAGGCGAGAAGGAAGTAGAAATAGAAATGAGAAAATATGATGTCCGAGAAAGCCTGAATAGAAATAAAATGAAAATTCCCCTATATAGTAGTATAATCAAGAGAGAGAGAGAGACGCAATCCCAGTCCAACAGGCAAACCTTTACCAAAAATACACTTACACATCTCTTGCTACATCTGATCATGGTCTTGGAAGGACCATACCGATGACTTCTTCATCTGGCTGGAGGTTTCCAGTATCAAAGAGTTTTATTCCTTCCTTTAGTGTTTCCGGTTTTTCTACCAGCAGCATATGAGCGTTTCATTTAGGGAAATGCCTTTCCTTATGGTCCTTATGAGAAAAGGAGGTACCTAAGAGAGGCTCAGCAGGTGTGTAGCTTCTACTGTCCTTACTGGGAAGAGGAGGGGTCGGAGACCAGCACCCAGTCTGGCATTCTGTTCCTCAACCACATTGCCAATTCGTTACAGCAAGAACATTTAAAGATGGAGGAGCACCACTGGATCTCCTAATTCTACCTCCCAGATTTCAGAAACTCTTTCTTCATAGTTCCTAGGTGGTTGCAGTGAATGTTTAAAGAGACAGCACAGACATCAACCCAACGATTCAGAAGGCAACTGCTGGGCAGCAGGTCCCCGACCTGTGACCCCTGGGCCTTCACCATCATCGTACCATCCATTTCTTCTTGGCCACCGTTCCCCTTAGCCACGCCCCCTCCTGTAAGCTGCCTCTTTTTGAGTTAAAAAGCCACACAGCACACCTCCGCACCTGATTTTTGATGCCTCACAGACCTGTTTTTAGCCTAATGTGTTTGCACCAGGCTTCCGTGCAGCACACAATGTGCTTGTGTGCTCGATGCCTATGCCAGTTACTCATGCGAGACTCTGAACTGCTCTCTGCTATGTCCTCAGATTTAATGAGTCCTGGCTAGGAAGAGATGATGTTGTTTATAAGCTAAGGTTTCTCTGAGTCTGACTCATAAGTCAAGTGTGAGTGTCTGGTTAAACACACAGTAGAAATACTGGCCACTGTCCCTCTCGCTCAGGCAGGGCTGTGCTTGGAACAGCCACTTTGACCCTGCTGGCCAGAAGTGCCCAAGATGCTCAGTGCTACCCCAGCTACTTCCTCCCCATGAGAAGCTCAGAGATACCTCTGCAGTTAACACAATCTCAGCTGCGATTGGGAGGGATCGTTTTAAGGGCTGGCAGGTTGTTTTAGACGGCCCACCTTGAGCAGACTCTTGTAAACCTTTACCTGGCATCAAGTTAGGAATGAGGGTGCTGTCCCAAAGCAGTCCACGTGTGGACTCGGGAGGGGCGTCCAGACACACAACGCAAGATACAAACTGGGTGAGGACAGTGGGGATCCTGCCACGGTGTCTTAATACACTCACACACACTGGACTCGCTGGGCTTCCCCAGCAGAGAGGTAGGCAAGCTGCGCTCTTTAGGTATTTTACTGCCAGTTTCTAGTCTGTCCACGAGGATGAAACCCAACTTGGGCTGCACTTGTCTAATTCTCAAACTCAGTGTTTGCACTCCTTATTCTTCAGCACTGGGTCCCTGAGAGCATGGTCTTGCAGGGTCATGTGGCCAAAGTGCCAGTCCTGCTTCTGTCCAGTGGTTTTCTTGTGAGCATCCTACTCAGAGACCTGAAGTGGCCTTCATGGATCCCAGTGAGAGCTGCCCGCTGCCGTCTTCCATCAAGTCTTTAAGGACTCGAAAGGATCTAGACTTAATGTTGTTCTCTGAGCTCAAAGTTGATGCCCAAGGCCTGGGCAAAACAGGCGTTTCTTTTCTTTTGGACGGTAATACTAGAAGGAATGTCACAGAGCACGGGGTGGCTGTAAGGAGCATTTGTTTTAAATTGAGAAATTTGTTAGGCTTTCTTCACAGTTCAGTGAAAATGAAGAGAAATATTCTAAGAAGGCCGTATGAAAAGCTTGCTCACAAGCAACTTCTTCTAAGTCATGTAAGTTCTTACTGGTTCTTCTGTGTTGGCTTGTCTTATCCTTTTATTTGGGGGTGGAAAAAAAAACCACACCACAGTATTATATTCTTTTCTTTTGGATTGTCAGAAAAGGTGGTAGCACCTACATGAATATGGCTTCTTGACTTGATCTGACCCTGACTGTGCATTCTTGACTCCCAGGACGGACATGGTGTTAGGACACGGTGCTGCTTTAATTAGCTGAAACTATTCTGGGGTCCCTGAGGGGGCTGATGTCTAGCAGGCATGTTCTGGGTGAACACTCAGGTACCTGGAAAGGTGAGAGCATCTGGGAAGGTGCTGGGGCGACAGGCAGGCCACGTGTGGCAGCCAGATCAGGGAGGGTTTTAAGGTTCCTGCACATCTCCACACCGTCCTCTGCCGATCAGAGGAGAAAGCTTGGACCTCTCTCCCTTCAAGGTTGAAACCTGATAGTCTTTGATCCTCATCTCAATTCACCCTGAGTCTCCTCTCTTCTCCCCTCGCAAGACAGATGTGAAGAGTGGTGGCTGAAGGTAATAGTGGCAGGAGAGCAGTCCAAGGTGGTTTCCCTGAGACTCAAGGGGTAGTGGTCACACGGGCTTCCAGGGTCAGATAAAGCTGCTTCTGCAATGATATTTCGCTCCAAGTTTGATATCAGCGTAATTACCTTCTTTCCATTTTGATGGAACAAAGAACTTTTTTTCTGCCCTAAATTATTTTTTGACATCAAAGACCCCTGCTTCACTGTATGTCACTTGCCTGTCAGTCAAGGTCATGATAAAAGGCTGTGCGTAGCATTTGCTCTCCTGTCTACAAACTGCCTCCTGGAGCTGGTGGGAGAGGTCCAGCCACACATGGTCCCAGAACATGGCGTACAGCTCGGCTGTAGATCAGTGTGGCATCACCCACACACGAACGACTGGAGATGTGAAATGCGCCCTGACTGATACTGGGTCACTCGTCCAAGCAAGGGCTTTGACCCTAAGTCTGTCCCTGCTCAGGTATCAGTTTCTGCTGGGACAGAAGAGGTGGAGAATCCAGAAAACCACAATGAACTGATATGAAAACAAAAGCACGGGTCTTGCTAATGGCTGATGTCAACTCCCTGTATCATACTTTGTTCTCCAGGATGAAGGTTATGGCTATTTAATGCCCTTCTCCACCCACATATAATTCCATTTTCTGTCTTTTCTATTACATGAAAAAAATGGAAAAAATATCCATTCCTCCAGTCTGGGAAATACATAGTCTTGGACCTCTTAAAAAATAGTTGAGTAAATTTCAACATTTTTGGCGAGGAGGGCACATCAGGATCTGGCTGCAGTAGGGTGAAAACTAAGATCAGTAATCAAACCAGCAGCGTGTACAGACCAAGGCTTGAACTTGCTCAAGGCAATCGTCAAAAAAAGATCCTTTTCTTCTTCTATCACAAGTTTACATGTATCAGGCTTGGGTTAGAAAGCTTGGTATCTCTGCTTTAAAAAGAAATGGAAAAGCTTGGTGTTTCTTCTGGTCTTATAACAGAGCGGACTTTGGACCTCTACAACAAACAGTTATCAAAAATCCTGCAATGTTTCCATCAGCAGATTTTCACTGTTCTTATGGTTTAACAAGGGGCTTCCTTAAGAAGGCACGAGGTGCTCACTGCCAGTGACCTCAGAAAAGAGGAGCAAAAGACACATATTAGTAACATATCTTTCAAGAACTTCCTGTAGCTCTGGTGTTACAAAGGACCACGCAAGGTCCTCTGTCTCGCCGTCATCATTTCTCTGTGCCTCTGTTTTAGCTGGAGCTCACGCTGGCTTCCTTCTGACGCAGTCTTTCTTTCTGTTGTTTGAGAAAAAAAAATGGAGTGTATTATTCTTCCTTTGTCTAAATTTTCACCTTTTTCAAATTTTGATACATTTCTCACGTGTTAGTCTAGAATACTGAAGAGAATTGTACCACATGCCCTAGAAATGAGAGAATCTCTATCCTTTTTTTCCTGAAATCCTGTTTCCTACCCCTTCCAACCTTACTCTCCCCAAACCAAACAAACCACGTGAACAACCAGCTAATCAACCAACTATATCCATCAAAAACACCAGCATTTACAATGCCAGTCTGCTCCGTTCTGTTCTTGTTTTCTGCAATGAAGTTCCCAACTTTGTGGTGTTACTCAAAGACTCCTCTCATTAGGGAATGCTCAAGAAATAGTTCCCAGGGAGTCTAGATATGAAAAATCACTCTTTCCAAGTTGACTGTGGCCACCTATAACCAACTTGGCAGAACTGAACAAAGGCTGGGCAAAACGGAAAAAGACACGATTTCGTCTATGCTGAATGGCAGAAGCTCCTGTCTTGCCAAGGATGTTCTGCTCTGCTCTTCCTGAGCTTCCTCCCCAGGGACAGCCTTCTAATGAAGAAGGAAGTGGAAGTCTGCTGGTGAGATAAACAAGAGTACACAAAGCAGAAAAATGGACTCTCGCTGTTTCTACGACTTTAGAGAAGTAAATACATTAAGCATCGTAAGGATGAGAATGTCTGTTCTTCAAGGTGGACAGACGGAAGGCTAAAAAAGAAATGGGACAAGTGCATTTCTTTGGAAAGAGCAGGTGCGGAGAGGAGCCCTTTGAGAATGTCCTCAGCTGCTTGTGAGCTATGAGATGTGACAGTGCAGAGAATTACAAAATTGGCCTGGATGTAAACTCAAGATAATTTTTAAACACCCATCCTGAGTTTGGATCCCACCCCTGACTTGTGAAATTGAATCAGGAATCAGTTTATAAGCTCCTCCCTAATTTCCACCAAAACAAACTGGCAACAAAAGAAACAACCCCAACAAATCTAAGATCACAACCAGGAGCCTGCGCACCGTGGAGGCGGCACCTGTAAGAGCACGCCCCGGTCAACTCACGGCTTCCTCTTTGTCCGCAGGGCTGAGTCCATCCTCTCTGCCCCTGGAAATAAGGTCTGGCTGTAAAAGTTAGCCAGGAGGCCCGGGGAAAGGAGTAGTGGCCAATGAGGGAGGACGACAAAAATCAGAGTTTGAGCCCACTGCTACCAAAAATCATACAAGTGAGGGTGATGAAAACACTGTCAAATGAGCGCAGAGATGTGTCCATTCTGCCGGAGCGCTGCGCGCTGACGGTGGCTGTCCCTAACCAGGCTGTATGGCCCCGACTTTCCCATTTCTCACTCATCAACCTCACTCAACCTTCCTTTAGCTGCTGATGGGGCTGTCAGGAGAATGTCTCAGACAATCAACAGAAATAATCTCACTTGAGAATTTATACACCACTTAGATTGTCGAAGGATTTAAAGCAGCTGGCAAAAAAGGACTAGTGAAGAATGAAGAAGCCCAGTAACTTCACTAAAGCTTCATAACTAGTAAGTGGCTAAGCTGGGATTTGAACCTGTACACCTTGGGTTCCTAACCATTCAGGATTTCTACTGTAACATGGAGATTCCTTGCAATCCTTACTGAAAACAGGACTGTGGAGGAGAGCTTCCCCTAGCAGCAAGGAAAACTGACTAGCCTGCAAGTGTCCAGCCCAGGGAGAGACGTCAGGGGACCCAGGATCTGGTTCTGGTTTCTGCTATCCATTTGTGAAGTGATGCTAGTGAGGTAGGCTGTATCTTCCTGCATCTCCATTTGACCAGCTATCGAAGGAGCATAGTCCCCATCCCTTTCTTTAACAGGGAAAAGGGACTGATGAAGGTGAAAATGCCTAAACATTTCAGAATGGTGATTTGAGATGAGGGGGCTCATGATGTGGAAGGGTGTGAAATGGTAAGTGACTACACCTGGTTTATCAGGAAATGACCTTATTCAAATTTGCTGGGAGAACACATGAAGCTGTGTTTCCTTCCTCACTCCGTCCTCCCCTGTGTTCTTTCTTACCATATGCTTCCCTGGGACGGGAACTGAGAACCCAGATACTACTCATTCCTCTGAGTTTTATCCTTTAAATTCAGACCCACTCCTGGGTGCACCTCAGTGATAATGAAAACTCTTGAGGTCGTGACGAAACATGCATCTCACCAGACTAGCCGTGGGGTTGATTTTCTTCGTCTCTACTTTCTTCTCTGATGTTAACTTGCTGACTGATTCCTGAGCCATTTTCAACCTGAAGACAAAATGGGGAAGGGGGAGAGGAGAGGAGGAAAAGAAAGGAAGAAAAAGGAAGAGGTCAGGTTAAACAGAAACCCAAATGCTGTTGAACCAATCAACCGGCAGTTTGAAGACAGAAGGGATGGTTTTCAGTGCTTTTCATTTTTAAGTTCAAACTCTGCAAAGGTGTCTCTTCTGGGTTATCAAAACGGAACTCCCTTCACTGGCGGAGGGGCTCACTTCATGTCTCTGGGGAGTCTACGCTTTTGTGACCAGTGATGGAGTTTCTGATGTACGGAATACTAGTTGTACTCACTTCACTTTCAGTGCATACTTTAAGGCTTTCTGGCTTGTAATCCACTCAGCAGATAAGATGAAGACAATTTTGAAAATTGAATTTTGGGGGAAACATATGAAGACTACAGATATTAAATTCACCAATTCACATCAAGAGAGTGAAAAGACACCCCACAGATGGGAAAAAACATTTGTAAATCATGTATCTGATAAAGGACTTGTATTCAGAACACATGAATAACTCTTACAACTCAAAGAGAAAGACAAAACCCAGTGTAAAAACAGGCAAAGGGTCAGAACAGACATTTCTCCAAAGACATACAAGTGACCCACTGGCACACCAGTTATCAGAGAAATACGAAGCAAAACCACAATGAGATACCACTTCACAGCCACGAGGATGGCTAGAATGAAAAAGAGAGGCCGTAACAGGTTTGGAGGTGAGGATGTGAAGGAACTGGAATCCTCATACATTGCTGACGGGACCGGAGAATGGTACAGTCACTCTGGAAAACAGTTTGGCAGTTTTTCAAAATGTTAAACATAGCTGCCATATGACCCAGCAGTTCCACTGCTAGGTCTATAAATAAATGCGTAGTCAAGACCACGAAAATGTATGTCCATATAAAAATTTACATATGAATGTTTATAGCTGTTCATAATAGCTCAGAGTAGAAACAGCTCAAATTTGTATCAGCTGATAAGTGGATAAACAAAATGGGGTATATTAACACAATGGAATATTACTGGACTGTAAAAAGGAAAGAACTGCTGATATATACTACAATGTGGATGAACCTCAAAACCATTAATGTAAATGAAAAAATCCACATATTACATGCTTCCATTTATGTGAAATGTCCAGAGTAGACAGATCCACAAAGACACAAAGTAGATCAGCAATGCCAGGGGCTGGGGACAGGGTTGAATAGGGAGTGACTTCCGATGGGTCACGGGTTTCTGCTAAAACCAGGGAACAGTGACGCCTGCCCATACTTAAGAATATACTGAAACCCACTGAATTGTACACAAAGGGTAAATTTTACAGTATGTCAATTGCATCTCAATAAGGCTGTTACAAAAAATCCAAGTCCACAAGAAGATATTATTTCTTATCCATCTCATCAGTTCATCAGCATGGTACTTCTCATCCATCAGATCAGCAAATCTAGCAGTCAGACAGTTATCAACTATTATTGTGGACGTGGGGAAACAGAAACTGCCAAACAGTGCATGAGAGCGTGTGAATTGGCACAGTGGGCTCTGGCAGCGTCAAGTGAAACTGAAAACAAGCATACTCTGTGAGCTATCAGTTCTTCTTCTAGGGAGACACCCGAAAGAAACTTTTATAATTAGACACAGGGCTTTCACTGGGTCACATTCACTGTGGCAACATATGCAATAATGGAAAATTAGAAACAACCAAATTATCAGGTTCGATAGGACAATGGATGGATGATGACAGGAAACAGTAATAGCTAACATTCACCGCGTGCACACTCCATGCCAGGTACTGTTCTACCTGCTTTATTTGAATTAAACCATTTAATTTGCACGACCACCCTGTTAGATAGAGACTTTCACTATTTCCATTTTGTAAGTGTTAAGCACCATCCAGTGTTGTTTACAGAGCATATTCATTGAATTCATTTAACCATGAAAAGGAATAAACTGCTTCTATGAACTCAACAACTGTGGGTATCAGAGAAACACAACACTGAAAGAGTGACAAATTCTGCAGAGTGACGGAGTGAAGAGGCCATCTAGCCTGGCGGTCAAGTGCTCAGGGTCCAGAGCCTGACTGGGATTAATTCTCAGCCCCACTACTTAGTAGCTGTGTGACCCTGGGCGAGTGACCTCTCTGTGCACCTAAAAAAGGGGATAATAACAACACTGTAGGTTATGTAGAGTCAATGAAGGGACTGCTGCCGCTCTAGATACAGTGCAATCTTCAATACACTTCACTACTATTGTTACTGTGCGGGAAATATGCTACCTTGTACATATGTCGGGGAACAGTGCCCACGAAACTATACCGTTCACGGATGCCTGCCCCGTGTATGTAAACATACATGTAAACATCTATTTATTTATATGCAGACTGGAAAGATACTAGTGTTCATGACAGAGGTGATCACTAGAATAACAGAAGAAGATAATGGCACTGGGAGGCAGTATGTCAAATAGAATTTCACTTTTATCTATGATACTTCATTTTTTAATTGTAAAATCTTAAAGAATATGTGGCAAAATGCTAACAGTTAATTCTAGGTGATGGGAACATGGGTGTTACAGTATCCTGAGTATGTTTCTTCATTTTTTTTAAAATTGAAGTTTAGTTGATTTACAATGTTGTATTAGTTTCTGGTGTACAGCATAGTGATTCAGTCATACATATAAATATACTCTTTTTAATATTCTTTTTCATTGTAGGCTATTACAAGATATTGAATGTAGTCCCCTGTGCTATATAGTACAACCTTGTTTATCTGTTTTATATACAATAGCTTGTATCTGCTAATCCCAAACTCCTAATTTACTGCCCCTCTTTCCCTTTTGGGAACCATAAATTTGTTTTCTATGTCTGTGAGTCTCTTTCTGTTTTGTAAATAAGTTCATTTGTATCATTTTTTTTTTAGATTCCACATATAAGTGATATCATATGATATTTGTCTTTCTCTGACTTCTTAGTATGTTCCTTTATTCTAAAAATTTCTTCAAAGATATCTAAAAAACACTAAAGACGCACCAAATGAGACACTAAAAAAATGAACATGCTTTTTCTTCAGGGCCTCAGATAAAAATCTTTCACTCAATATTAATCACACACTTGCTTAATACTGAAGTGGCTGAGCACCTCAGCTCTTTACTTAGGAAATTTTGCACAATTTGCTTGAAACACATGCTTAGTAATCCAATCTCTCTGCTCACATGCACAAGTTAGTTAAATCAATTTAACGTGCTGACTTGTGCGCCAGAAAAGAAAGAAAAATGAGACAAAGATGAGCAATGATTTATACAGCCAAGAAATGCATCTGCAAAGCTGCCGTGAGAGCGGGCGCTTCTCAGCACTGGCACAGGTCTGTGTGTACACACCACAGTGCCTACTCAACTTCTCTGTTTGCGGCAGCATCTCTGACGACACCCACACAAGTAAAGAATGCACAGAAGGATCAAATCCAGGTCAGACTACACTGGAGACTGACCACCGAGGGATTTGCAGACAAGACGATGGTGCCGTCAATGAGGCCCCAGCTTGTAGCATCTACTCTTACTGGCTTCTCTCCAGCGAGGTTTGTTGTCAAAGGGAGCACCTATTAGTGACACTTTAATTTCAATGCCAGTGGAATGGTTTAGAATTATTATTTCTCTCTGGGCTCCCTAACTTTTAGGGAACTTTTGGGGGTCATCTTTTGCTTAAGCAGTTCCTTTTCACCTTTGAATTCTGGTCTCTTCTTTCGGAGTTGGTCTTCTACTATGCTCCTGGCACCGCAGTGCCTCCCCTAGTTCCCGAATTTCTCAATCACTTTCCACATTCTCTCAGTATGATGGTGGTTGGGGATGTGAAGGCAGGGAGGCTGCGAGCCAACTTAAGGTCCAGTCTTCACTGCTAACCTTCTCGTCCTTGGTCAGTGGCTGCTCGGCGCACTACAGGCTGGCATGCACACCGCAGACTTCGCAGGACAATTCTGATCTCGGTGACTCCATCCTGCTCTCCTCTAAATGTTCTCATTCAATTATTGTCTCCCTTTCACAGGCCATGCTTGCAAATCATAAAGGATCAGGAGAGGGCATAGCTTGGTGGCAAGCAGCTTCAGCACCAGCGAAGCTTGACTCTTGTTACCAGACTTGGAGCAGGTTAATCAACTTTTCTAAACTTCGGTTTCCTTATGTAGAAAACGTTATGATACATATAATACTAACCACATGGTATTGTTGTGAGGACTAAGTGGATTAATACATCTAATAAAACATCTAGTACACCTGACACATAGCAAGTGGTCAATAAAGGAAAACTGTTATGGAATCTTCCATCACAGAGATGAAGGAATTCCTTAAGAATGCAGGGCAATAGTTTTTCACTACAAATAAAACAAATGGAGCTATCAGCTAAGTACTGTCTTGCAGTAATATCATCTAGGTGTGTCCTGAAAGAAAACGAAATCAACTAAGGCTATTATTCCAGGACTTAGCAAACCAAGGAGCTCACCTCAGTTTTTCTGATCTGAACACAAATTTTAAGAGTCATAACCAGAAGCTACACTTTGATGCAGGCATGACACAAATTTTTCAACCAAATAAATAAAAGAAATGATTAAACTTCAAAGATTGCATCTACTTCCTCATATTTTTTTCCAAGGTTCTTGGAGGTAAGTATTATAAATAAAATTTAAATTTCAAATATTATAGAGCTTCTAAGTATATTTATCAACCTCGTTTTTCTCATAGCCAAAAGAACACTTGTTCCTTGTAGGAAAATTATATATTATGTATAATAAAATTATACATTATGTACTAATATATTATATATTATAAGATTATAATATTAAAATGTATTATGTATATATATATGGAAGTTATATACTCAACTTATGCTGTATATTTAAAAGTATAAAGAAAAAGTAAGATTCACTGGCCATTTAAATGCTTTCCTCAGAATGCAGTTAAAACATAAGTGGACCAGAAACTGAAAATTATCACATACAAACCTCTCAGACA